GAGTTTTAATGTTTATTGACATGTAATGAAATGTTCATGATGTTAATGTATGTTTGAAGAAAAAACAAAGAAAGAAATAAATACAAAATTAAATAATATAAGGATGATGATGATGGTGGTGGTGGTGGTGATAGTAATGAAGCTGTTGATAATGTGATAATACCTTTCCTCTTTCTAGAAGTTGTAACCAACCCATCTGAAAAAGAAAATAGAAACAGTTGTGTTTCTCGAGTAGAAAATTGTAGATGTCTCTCTAGGGATGCACTCATCCCTGGAAATTCCAATTAATTGTTGGAATTTAGCTGTCAAACATAAAACAAGTGTAAATACGTATTCATAGAACTAATGTATTTTCTTAAAACATTAAAGATAATTTAAATAGCCCAAAGAACATTAATGTTTTTACATTAATTAGGTATATAGAATTACGGATTTTTTTTCTTCTTTTTGCTTGAATTAGCTAGGGCCTATACAGACAATCATTAAATCATTAATAACAAAAATTATAATATTAACAACATCATTTTTGGTCCGCTAAGTGACACAAACGTTTTGGATTTCTAATATTGAACATACTTACCTAGAAAAGCACGTTTTGCTTTTTGGTTCAGAAGATTTCCAAACCTCTTTATTTTGTCTGGTTTGTCTTCCAACTGTTCGTCTTTCTCCAAAAAGAAAACTAGATCCCAGATGTTTTTAAAGTCACTATAATGTTGTTGGTAGCTGTTAGCTAAGAACTCTAATTTGTCTTCTACTTCTAATTTCAATGCTCTGAACAGATTCTTTCTATATTGTGTCAATTGCTTTCGCTTAGTGATTGGGACATATTCTTTAATAGCCTTATCTTTATACTCATTTACATGAGTTATTGCAGACTTATTTTTCGTCAGTTCGGCAATTTCTGACAAAAGATCTACATCATTACAAGATATTTCATCTATGTACCAGAGTTCATTAAATAGACCAATTCCATCATTTGTTTTACGTGCTAACACCCCGATATCTATGTGATCAAATAAGAGACATCGCAACCAAAAGACGCTTACACCAGAAAAGTCTCCACTAAGTTTTACGAGAAAGTCTCTAAATCGGTCTTTCATACGTTGTGTTGGCTTTCTGGTCCTGCAAAAAAAATGATATAGGCCTACCAATAATAATAATAAATCTATGTGAATGTATTCGGTTGTTTTTGCATCGATGGGCGGCTCAGGTTTGTTGTTTTAGCTGTCCGAAAAGTCCCGAACAATTAGATAGTCAATAGCTTTTGGTCCAGGTCCCACATACAAACGCTAGGTTGTACTCAAAGGGAGAGTATGTTTTAGGGTGATAAACATTGTAGTTTTAAAACAAAATTTTGGAACTGTATTCACAATAGCTTCTGTTGGATCACAATACATACATTTTTATTTTGATAC